TGGAAGCGATATATTATTTATAAATGAGGGCATACGCGGTATGCATTACAAGTCCACTGATAACTGATTTACAGCAGCGATAGATAGACAGACAGACAGACAGACAAGACAGACAGACGGACAGACAGACAGACAGACGCAGACAGACAGACAGACAAGACAGCACGGACGGACGACGGAGGATGAAGACAGACAGAAGTCGGACAGCCAGAGAAACCAGACAGACAGACTGAAGTAGATCTACTGAAAATGTAATTTACTGTATGAATATCCGGCTCTTAACGTATAGGGCATAGATAAATGGCATATACCGTGACGTGTGTAATTCGTATGATATCTAATAATCGGTATTTCTATGCTAAGACCGTTTCAGGGCGGTGAATAAAATAAGTGTTTTATATACTCCTGGTGTTTGCATGATATCAAAACATTTCACATTCAATACGTTCAAGTAATAGTCAGCTCTTTTCAGTGCTAAGGTACCTAGAAAGTTTTCTGTACCTTTGAAGTAATATTCCAACCCGACCTATTAATACATGTCAAAAAATTCTTTATAAATTAAATAACAAGATTAAATTAGTTAATTTTTCCGACTCTATAAGGTAAAACGCCTATACGACCTTAACACAATGTTGACTTGAAATTAGCCAATTGGTGTTGCCACACTGGCAATGAAACGAACACGAATAATAATTGTTATTCTGGTTGTTATTATTATTTTTGTTTAGAAGCAAGTATTATCTAAGTCTGAGAGTTGGCGATAATAGGTAAGTTTCACGTCAATACTGGAGTTTGCGACTTACTATAGCAGACTTAACGACGCGTAGACCGAGTAGTGGCACACAGACACGCCATATGACATATATAACTTCTTAAATGGAACCATGAGATAGGTCTAATAGATCTATTAGACTTCGTCGTTTAGTACGAAAAAAAGTCCCATCTGCCCATAGTTTAAATTTAGTTAGGTACGGGATTACTATTTTTAGGCCAATATAGGATTTGTAGTGTTATAAGTATATTATAGTGTGGCTTATAGATGTGTGGGAATAATATCGTTCTGTCTATTATTATAAGTAATCAATTACTCAAAAATTTCAAAAATGGCGCAACGTATGCCGACCATATCCACAACACATTTATTTTCAGGAAGTGTTTCTTACTCGGCCCTAACCATAACGTGGCAGTTCTGGTAAACGTAAATCTGGCGTTTAAACCTGGTTACAGTGTTAAAAGTGTTTTGCCTCAGAATCATACGAGTTTAACTTAAAATATGGCAGCTGTCATATTGGGAGTCTGCAGGCCATGCATGTTCTAATCCGCCATATCAACGTGTGAAATAATCGTTGAGAATGCCATTACATTGACGCGTTCACGCAAAACTTTCACCAAAACTGAAATTCGGCAAAGATCTTTATTTTCACGTTATCTCTCAGATTTTTCGATAATCAATGTTCATTCAGCAGCAGAGGACGAACCACACCGTTTTCTCAATCATCACTCCGCCATTTTCGCAGCCTCGCAGTGTGCTACTCCGTGAGAAACAGCCCTGCTGGTGGCGCATGTAGACCGGAGGAAAGTAGTTCGGCGATTATAAAGGTCACATGGATTTTGCGTTTTCTCGTTGCTGCATTGGAGGGAGAGTCGCATTGGCTTCTCGGCCAAGTCTGCGGCTTGACACCTTTTCGTAGTGTCGCAACGAAGATTGGGCCAACCGAGATGCGTACTTCGAACATCGACAGCAGACGGCTGATGTCGGCAGCGATCCACGTTCGAGCGTGAGTCCGTCCCTTGCTGCAGGCTCACTGCAGTCGTACTCTCATCCTCCCCCGCGCGAGCGCATGCTGCGGGATGTCGACATCATCCGTTTATTTTTGGGGACCTGCTAAAACGCTTCCGGGCGGTATGTAATGTCAGCCTGTAGAGATGGCTATAGTCGGCGAGACGCGTCGCCACATGGCAGGCGCGCTGCATCGCGCACTTCCACCCACTCTGCCGATACAAAACGGGCTTATCTATTTAGTATTAAATTGCCGTTACAAATCGCAGCCAATAAAAGCGTTACACCAGTATCTGGTCTTTTTAATCCGCGGCGCATGCTTCGTACGGGTTGTTTCACAATAGCCATGATTTAAAACCTATAGGATGAGTGGAGTAGTCGAATCTTTATTGTAAACACCAGGGCAGTACGAAATGCATAGTTATACACTGAATGATGATATACCAATCGTATAGGTTGTCTACGGTATTGGTTACGGCCTATGGTTTTATACTAAACTAATATGAATAGAATAGTGTTCTGACTGAATTTAGCCCTGTACTTGAATGCTTAAAGCCTTGTGTTGAACAGTTCAATGTTTACCGAAATTTGCATGTGATTCTTTTCGAATCACAAAATAACCTACGAACGCGTCCGAGTCTAATCGAGACTCGACAATCTTATCGTTCCCAGTTATCACCCATCTCTATGACTTTCACCTTCACATATCTGCAATTCGCAGCTTAATGTCGACTGCATTGTACTGCAACGTCGTCGGAAATTAAGCACCGATGTCACCCATATGTTAGCCACACCGTTGTTATATTTACGTCTCCAGCGAGTTATTATTTCCTGGCACGTATTCAGGGAGCCAGCAGCAGCGGCTCTTCTCTTTCAATCGATATCATGAACAGTCGCGCTAAAGCACGCAAAAACCGATAGCAGTATAGTTACCAGTAGCGCGCAGTTGTTATGCGTTGTATATATAAATTTCGTTAATTACGACATTCGCAGATTCCACGAGTGAAAACATCAACGGATAATCATGATGCCACGATTGTATGCATCACACGATTAATATCCTGAGGCGAGAGTTGTGGCGTGCGTTTTACGGAGTTCTACAAAATGAACAAACATAGCGTCGCTCGTCTCCTTGCGTCATCCCCATATAAAAGGTAGCAGATGAATACGTCAGTCATCACGCGCTCGAGTAATTTTTTAAGGTAGGCGTGAATTGTCGTCCGTGCTTTAACCAAAATATAGGTGTGGACAGCCGTGAGGCACTTACGGTCATAAAATTAGAGAGAAAGGAGAAGAGGAGAGAGAGGGGGAGGAGAGAGGCGCGAGAAAAGAAGAGAGGAGAGAGATGAGACAGCGCGCGTGTGGGTGCGTGCGTGCCGTTGTGTCGTGGCATGTGTGGTCGGCATGTGCGTGTGCGTCTCGCGTCTGCGTCAGCTGGTACGTGTGTGGCGTGTGGTTGCGTGGGGCTTGTCCGTCTGACGTCTGCCGGTGCGTACGTGTGTGTGTCATGTGTGTGTGCTTGTGCGATGGCATGTGCGTCTGCGTCTGTATCGTGTGTGGCCACTGCGCATGTGCTGTGCGTGTGCCTGACTGTGTCGTGCGAGCGGTGTGTGCATGCTGGCGTGTGCGTGTGCGTGCTGCCCTGTGGCGCGCGTGTGATGTGTGTGTGTGCTAGTGTGTGTGTGTTGATGTAGTGTCGTTGTGTGTAGTGGGTCGTCGCGCTGTGAGGGTGCGTACGTACGTGTGGCGCGCGCGTGCATGTGTGGTACTTTGTTCAAGAGGTTATTGCCCATCAAGTATAGCTGGCGATATGAAAGGCAGTTTACGGGCGTTCTGTCTTCGTGAACTCGACACTTAAAGCATACTAACCTAACTATATATATCAACTAAAAACACACCGCTCCACAGTCGTAAAAGTTTGGACTGTTCTCACAATCATCTTCTGAATCATGCTGTTGTAATCCTTTTGTGTGCGTTGATTGACCTTCACAACCGAATCAGCCGATTCCTCACAGCGCAATTTAAGCTTGATGTAATATAATCACGGGCAAATTTTGAATTTGTCATTAATTGCTCCTGATATAATGTATGTATTTCATATATTATGTAAAATAATATAAATAAAAAGAATGAACTGGAATCCAACTACTCGTGATTTTTGCCAGGTATATAACAGTATAACAATGTATCCAACCACTTACAGTAGGTTGCCTGTCCAAGCAGTGTTAAGTCTTACAGGCCAAAGTTCCGTCAATATACCATTCTGTAGGCGACATAGCAGCATGGGAATCGTGCGGCTGGGATATTGCAAGAGTCGGCAATAGATTAGATACCGTACATATGGCTCGATCGTACGGTATATATATTGTCACCAATCAGCATGCGTTTCAAGCGAAGTAAAGACGTGTTCCCATGAATGATCTAATCTTGAAATAGATATATTAAAATCGATCATATTTAACTAGTATGCTTTAGCATGTTTCGCGCACGCACACACGTGTCCAAGTGCGCGCATACATATGTACAGGTGTTCTAGACGGTTCGTGAGATACGTCGGGAGATGGCCGACTGTGTGTAGGCACGTCGTGATCGTATAAGTGTTGAATTAATCTCTACTTGCGGTGTTATTGTGCTTGCGTTGTGTCTTAACCTGTTCGCTATCGCGCTGGCGTAAACGTTGCCTGTTTGAAGGAAATCGTCAGCCGAGGTGTCGATGTGTCCGGTGCGGCGCGAGTTAATTAGACACGAGATAGAAGAATGAAACACTACTTATGATCTTTATTCACTTGCGCACAAATCACGTGCTAGTCGTACAAGTAGCTAGAAGAAATCACGTAAAGATACTACTTGCTGTAGATAACTATGTGGCTACAACGGCGAGTACAAGTATAAGCCGCACGACACGTAGGAATTAAAAAGGAGGAACCGTGTGTTTTTTCTAAGGGAAAACTTTTATATGAGGGGCTTGAAACAGGTGTAACTGGGCGTAACTACACTTGACTGGTGGTCATTTATTTTTTTGTGACAAGGAGAGCGCCTAATCGTTTTGGCGCTCTAATTTGAAGTACACGGGCAACGGGGATTTATGAGACAAGAGTAGGCCGTACGCTAAAGTTAGAGTGAGGCGCTGACGTGAGGTGTGGGCCGACATGTTTCTTGGGAAACTCGCCCAGCGGGGAGTAGTAACGCTTTGCATTTTTCCTGATCGATAATTTCCCAGGAGGATTTGCTGCCGTGGGAGAATTTATCGCTGATCGACCTTCAGCAGAATCCATGGCACTGCGACTGCCGTCTCGCCTGGATGTCCAAAATGTCATATATTGACAAGAAACTCATTGACTACGTAAGGTACGTGCGATACAGCTAGGCAGTTACTTGTACCCGCTGGTGTTATGTGGTTCTATATGTAGTCGTAGAACTATAATATGTAGACCTATAATAAATAGTGTTGAGTGTGATTATGTGACTGTGATTATGATGATAGGGGGCTGCTTAGGGCCTGATATTTTTTTCCGACAAAATTCAAAAGTAGACAATATCCGTTCTATTTGTGGTAATAGACTACCCTTGTTGCGTTACCGATAATCTTGCCAGATTTTCCTGTCGTGTAACAAAATAACACGGTATCAATTGTCGCATAACATCAAGAGCCTATAAAGAAGGATTATTTCTTCATACGCTCTTGATAACATCGTGAGTGTCATAATAATATAGATCTATATTATGAAACTCCGGATAACATAATACTATCAGAATTATCGTGTAACAACATAAGGCGATGGCAGTTATCGTGTGTAACACTGGGGCCCGTTGTCAGTAACAGAAGTCTTGCTATTAGTCTTAACATTAAGTTTACGATGTTTCTAACACAACGACCCCCCTGGTCTTACGAGCAGGTGTGCGTCACCGACGAAACTTCAGAATCATCTCATCGTCGGCCTCAACTCGTCGCTATTCGTCTGCGACGGACACAGCCGACCGACGTCTAGATCGACGACGACGACAACGATGACGATAGTGATGATCCTCGCGGTCCTTCTGCTTACTACGGCCGTGGGCACGTATGCGATGAAACGCTTCAACGTGTTTAAGAATTGTTGCAGGAAGCGCGAGGCGGCGCGAAGGTATGTGTCTGTCATCGACAGTGAGACATCCGCTGACGATAGCTACCTTATTCAGGAAATGGAAGAAATCTGAAATCGCCTGTGATATTATTTGCCGCCAGGTGACGCTGTCGTTCGCTAGATATGTCTGTAAATCCGTGGTTATCTTGGCACAGATTGCGCGGGTGATTTTAGCAGCTTTAGAGAGACACAGAGAGCGAGTAAGTGAACACGCCTGTTTCACTCAAAATTGCAGCCCTGTAGGCTAAGCGCGGTCGATCGCGCATGCGCATGTTATTGGCGATTCTAATTAAATTTGTAAGCGAAATTAACTATACTGCAGGGTAACTATATAAATTCATCCACAATTATTATAGATAATATATAATTATATTTGGGATCTTTAATCATCTTAAAGCACATAATATGTTTACAGTGTTACGTGAATTGTATAGTTAAGTTGCAAGTAGCAATGATTAGGTAAAGGCGGAATAACGAATTATATAATACTATAAAAGTAATGTAAAAATCGGCTTTTTTGATGTTCGCATAAAATAGTGAGACACATGATTATTTGATCAATGATAAATAAAATACATGACGATCATACAATGCCAGAAGAACGAATGTTTAAGTTGTTTTTTTTAGTTATAACGAAACAAGTGCGTTTATACTAAAAAAAACATCAAGTTATCTATTTCACGTGAAATGTCTGTCATGTTACTTAAGTATATCGGTCGATTTCAGTTCATGTTCAATGAACAACATGCTATAAATGAATGTGATTTTTTAGCGTTTGTTATGTCTCAGCTTACGCGTAGGGGAATCTACTGTACGCATCGTTGTCATGGTAACGTGTCATGTGCGATATTCAGGCACTGATTTTACCGTCTGCATTTTCCGAGTGTCTATTACGTATATGCGGTTTGGATTGATGTGGTCTCTTGCAGTAAATATATACGATGTTTTACCAGATATGTTGCCGGATCTTCGCAAAAATTCGACTGTATCTCACATTTCCTATTACTATAGACGCGGACCCGTTATCAGAAACAAAATTAGTCTTAACACTAGTCTTAACATTAATCTTTTCTCGTAGACCGGACCTTTATGCACTGCATATGCGCAACCGTTACTTTACCATGATTCTGTTAACAAGCTATTAGGAAAAGTTAAAGTTAAGACTGATGTTAATTTTATTTCTGACACTGGACCTTAGCAAAACTCCTGCTTGCGTGAAGCGAATGAAAGACGCATAGCATTAATTTTTGTTGCACGATCTGACAACATATACACAGTCAATATTATCAATGTTATTTTACCCGTATTATATGGCGAAATATCTTGCAGTGTACGCCCTTTACTATTCAATTTATCTCATATTTTGCTATGTGATTTTAATAGATCTTATTGTATGTTGGTGTTTATAGAAATAATATTATAGTTGTTTGTAGCAGCCTTTTTCATATAAATATGATCATAATATTGTAGGGGTCAGTGTACAAAATATTGTATAAATATAATATAATATATTCGACAATATTATTTTTTTATGGTCATAAATGTGACGTCAGCGAGGACGCCCGTTCGCGAGAAGGGCATGCACAGGCACTTGGAACGTTTCAGTAATAAAATAATTGTGTAATAATACTTGTGTATTGCAGAGTAGCATTTAAACGGCTTTTACAAGAAAACTTGGTGATAATAGGCGAAATAGAGTAGAGAAATAATAAGACTTTGGTAGTGAATACATATCGTGTTCATTTACCAGCATTTCATTATCGAAACGTTCCAAGTGCCTGCGGGGGAACCGCACCTACCTAGTTCTGTCTCGCAGTGGTCACCCGTGTAGCCCACCTGAGATACGCACAGGTATTCGCTCGGGTCGTCCTCCGCAACCTCACACACGCCGTAGTTACAGTCGATGCCGTTGCAAGGGTCGCTGACATTGCACAGCGCGCCCACGTACCCTTCGAAACACTCGCACGTGAACACGTCCGGAAAGCTGTCGTTCTGTCGGCATATTCCGAAGTCGCCGCAGAGGTTGTGCACGTCGTGGCAAGCTTCCTTCACGTCGCACGCCTCTCCCGCGTAGCCCTCGTCGCAGGTGCACGTCACGTTGAGAAATTCGCCGTCGAGGACGCAGTTTCCGTGCGCGCACGGGGAGTTGGTGGGTAGACACGGGTTCTCGACGTTGCAATTTACTCCGACGTAGTCGGCGGCGCATTTACACGTGTAGGCGTCGCTCCGCGCCAAACACTGACCGTTCTCGCACGGGTCGGGATCGCACGGGTTGTTGACGGAGCAATCGTCGCCCGTCCAACCCTCTTCGCAGATGCACGTCGCTTCGGTCTCGCTTTCCGGTACGAGATGGCAATCGCCGTTAACGCAGGGGTAGTTCAGACAGGCGGACTGCTCGCAATTGTCGCCCGTGTACCCGGCCGTACAGTCACACTTGTACGTGCCGTCGTTGTCAGGGTGCGGCGTGCAAATGCCCCCGTTTTTGCACGGGTTAGGCAGGCACAAATCTTTAATTTCGCAGTCATCGCCAATCCATCCGGCTTCGCAAATGCACATGTGACACAAAGGTATGGTGTCTACGCACGTGCCGCCGTTCTGGCAATAAACACCGGCGACCTTACAGTCGCCGTCTGTGAATGGAGGAGCGCCTAGAAGAAATCAAGGAAGCAGCAGCTTATTACACACGCACGCGC